ATTGCATTCAATAAAATGAACATTAATTTCACAATAAGTAGAAGAGGAAGATCCCGAAAAAACGGGCTCTGGCATAAAATCATAAAGGTTTCATGATTATTATCATTTCAAATACGTGTTGATAAACGTGCTTCAATATAAACAAAGAATAACACTTAACAATGTCTTTTTTCGTGTGTTTCTCTAGACAAAACAAATCAATGGCAATTTAAAACACTATTTCTATTTGATAAGACGTATTTAAATATTTGATATGTTTCATTCATCCAACATTTATCTACATTTGATTTTTCTTCTTCTTATTTTTCTTTTATTACAGTTTGACAAAGATGGTAATTTATTTCGGTGGACTGGTAGCCCAATACTACTAGATAGCGAAATTCCCCGTGACCCAGAAATATTGGAATTGTTAGCCAAGTATCGTCCTGCTGTTGAAGCTCTAACCAAAGACGTATATGGTTTTTCAAAAGTTGAATTGCAAAAGAATTGCACAAACTACGAGTGTAACTTGGGCAATTTGATAACCGATTCCTGGGTCTATAGTCGTGTGCAAAGCAAACAATACACAGGCCCCGGCTGGACAGATGCATCAATTGCCCTGGTCAATGCAGGAGCAATTCGGTCAGCCACCACAATCGGAGAGCTCTCACAATTTGCATTATCAACGATACTACCATTCAATAACAGTTTGTATGTGGTACAAGTGCCGGGTTCTTGTTTAAAAGCCGCTTTGGAGTATACAGTGCGCGAGTATGTATGCGGTGGGTATGTGCGTGGTTTTCTGCAAATGTCTGGCCTGCATGTTGTGTTCAACCTAAGCAAAACGCCTGGTGATCGTGTGCAATCGGTGGAAGTTTTATGTTCCAACTGCAGTACTCCCGTATACGAACCACTTGACTTGATGAAAGTTTATGGTGTTATTCTTGAATCATTCATATACGGGGGTGGTGATGGGTTTGACATGTTCGAGGTAAGTGAAAATATTTATTATACCTTCTGAATGAAGAATTAAATTTCCGAATTTTGCGAGTTAATTTCGATTTAATCAATTACTCTTCTCATTTCCAGTCCTTGAAAGCAATCGAAATGTCAACGACCTCATTGGACTCGCTTACCAATTATATCAAGCATGTAGAATGGATCTATCCAGCCGTCGAGGGTCGTATCAAGTTCGTTGCAGAGAACAACAATAGCACATCTGACTCAAGCATTACAACACCAATCTCAATCACTCTTATTGCCGTTTCATTGCTTTTAGTCAAGTCTCAGTTTTAGTCAATATATTTATTACGAGATCAGTTTCGTTCATTTACAGTGATTTAGAAAATTAACAATCTAGTACATATACAAAAATAGAATGAAATAAAAATTTGAATACGAGAATGATGAGCGATGTGCCATGGATCTTATTTCAGTTGTACAGTTGTGTGAACAATAAAATATAACATACGTCACGTAACCGATTCTACATTGTCAATTTTACTTTTTTATTTTCGTTTTTTTAAATTTTGTGTGATTTTAATGTCATATTTTTTTCTTATTTGGATAAAATTCGTAATTTTTGCATCATAACTATGAGAGGAGTAATTTAAAAAATTGATTTTTAATGAATATTATTGGCAAATTTATCAGCGACTGCTTCATCTTTAGTATTTTTGGAGCAAGAATTCCGTATCTAGAAACAATTTCATGCACAAATATGACGACCGATCGGTCGTAGTCGACTACGCAATTACAACAACAATAGCACGTATTGCACTAACAATTTCAGTTCGTTGTATCGTCAGGTTACAAATCACTTAAAGTTATTCTCGTTGATCCAATCGCTGGTATTGATTAAATGGCCATCGTAGTGTTTCTTTTCTATTATTCACCACATCATGAGCATATTTACTACTTCTTGATATTTACTACTTAATATGAATCGCTGAGCGGATTTATTCAACGTAATTTTAATTCTGGAAAAGTGTTCCACAAATTATTTCTAAATAAACACTTGGATTTATTTTCATGCACTATTTTTACTGATTTTGTTTTCGAGGCGATTCGAATAGAACGTTTTATGATGACACCACTCGTATTTATCACTGAATGCACATTAACTGATAAGGAATGTGAATTTTGATGTGGCAATAACACTAATGGATTAGGCCCACAGAATACTGCATTAGAATCGAAGAAAAAACAATCAAAATTTATTGCATTTGTGGATGGTAAAAACTTATTCCGAGTCGACCGTTTTTAACAAAACTATTTAGTATACAGGCGAGCCTAGATTGGAAACCCTCCATACAATTTGGTTGAAACTATAAGGACTTACGTAGCAACAAAATGGTTAAAACATTTGCGGCTCGTACATCGTAGTGTAATTCAAATAAATGACTTTACTGTTGTTGTTTTTTAAAAGATTTTATCGAATTGTGAAAATGAACTCTACAAAGTTAGCTCACGAGCTATGATTCATTCGAGTTTTGTGGTGTTTTATAGTTTTATTTCATTTCACCGATCATAAATTGAGTGATGACTTTTACTATCACTGAAATCGTACTTCAAGCGCTTCAGGAAACCTTCCATTAAAATGCATGAATACCAAGGCTATTTTGAAGCATTTTTGCGTCCGACGAATTACCAAGCATTTCTATATTGGTTCTGTTCTTTTTTTTCATATACCTATTATTCGGAAAGAACCAAGTTTTTTTTTAACGAGATGGGAACTGGATAAGATTGTAACAATTCTTATACTCTTTTTCCGGTCAATCGTAACCAATAACCAATTGACTTTACTTTAAGCAATAAAATAAAAAAAATAATTAAAGAAATAAATTCCACATATGTGATTCATATAGTATGTCAAATCACATTCACATTTGCGTGAACTATCTCAGGGCTACGCCCATGTCCGGCAATTGTACAAAATCGATAGTTAAATATTTTTTCATTGGCTTTGGTTTATACATTGTCACATTAAAGGAAAGGAAATTGCTTGTGTTTGGAGGAAATAAATGCGATTATAGTTTGTTAAAATTTGATGTCATAATTGCTTTGAATTAGTCTGTTTACATAGTTTTGCTAGTGGTTTATGGCTTTTTATCGCAAAAAGTAAAACTGTAGCGAAGTGCAATAAACCTTATGCCAAGTATTTGTATCTATCTATATCGGCATGAAGGATGAGTTAAAATGAACAAAAATTTCTGAATGGAAAAGAACTTCGCTTTGGTTAAGGTTTTAAAAGCAACTGATTTATTTTTCAATCAAATGAATCAAAATACTATTTTTCAGTGACAACATATTTTTATCAAAGAAACCTTTGATTTCTTAAACATTCTCCCACTCAAACAATTTTTGTTCTAATTCAATCAAAATTTCTTGTTTAGTAACATTTCCATTTAATGTTATTATTTTTGCTGGAGACGACTCAGATGGATTCGAATCTCCAATGATAATCGATGTTAGCATAGTAATGCTCGTTGAATTCCCAGTGTTGTTTGGTAGAATCAATTCGTCGAGATCTTCACGTTCTGCAGTTGGAAGTGGTGCCAATTTCACAATTGGACGAACGAATGTACCATTTTTGAAGAATTTTGTTGATTCGATTTGCGACGAAAACTTTCCATTTTTTCTCGTTGCCTTTTATCCAGTGCAAAACAACTTGCGAATCCGTCCAAAGGAAAATGTTGGACGAATCAAATGTTTGATGACGAATCGATTTACTCACGTAGTTGATGATTTTTGCGAGTATCAAAGCAGCACATAATTCCAGACGTGGAATCGATTGTGCTTTCATTGGAGTAACCCTTGATTTTGAAAAAATCAAATTCGATGTGACTTCGCCGTTTTCGTTGATACAGCGAATGTAGACTGAACCTCCGTAAGCTTTCGTTGATGCATCAGCAAAACCATGCAACTCGTACGATGAACATTTCGGTGATGTTCCTATCCAGCGTGGAATTTTGATTGATGATAACGAAGGTAGTTTTTCGATGAAAATATTCCATTTGCGAAGATTTTCGGCTGGCAACGGGTCATGCCATTCTAGTTTCAAAGACCATAATTCTTTCATGAACATTTTGGTCTTCATGGTGATTGGTGAAACTAGACCAAGGGGATTGAAGATGCGTGCGATTGTAGATAAAACGAACTGTTTTGTGATGATTCCCCTTTTTTCGTAATTGATGTTGAAATTCAGACAATCAGTAGATGTGTTCCACAGGATACCCAAAGTTTTGATTTTTTTGTCTGAATTGAGAGCTAGCGGAATTTTAATCTCTCTATCTGATTCTGGAACTGCTGCGAGAATTTCGTTACAGTTGCTGGCCCACTTTTTGATTTTGAATCTTCGCTGAAGCGAAAATGCGAATTAATTCTCGCAGGATTTTGAGTGCGTTTTCGATGTCGTATGAACCTGTGATTGTATCGTCCATGTAGATGTCTTTCTTGTTTACTTCGGCAGTTTCCGGAAATTGAGGACTATTCTGTTCGGCAAGCTTGTTGACACATTGGATTGCACCACAAGGTGCGTTGTTTGTACCAAAACCCAAGCGGTTGATTCCATATTCTCTCAATTTTTCCGATGAGTGATTTCTCCAAAGTATGCGTTGATATGTGATGTCACTCTCAGCAACACGGATTTGGCGATATATCTGTTGAATATCGCCCACAAAGGCAATTTGATGAAATCGCCAATTGATGAGAATAGCTGTCAAATCGTTGAGAAGAACAGGTCCCGGAAACAATACTGAATTGAGTGAGTTTCCATTCGATGACTTTTTGGCAGCGTTGTACACGGGGCGTAAGCGAGTTGACGTACTATTTTCCTTGATGACGGCATGATGTGGCAGATAAAAGCAATCGTACGCAGGTTGACCGTTTTCGGTGTGATACAAACGATCCGATTCTTTATCGAATAGTTCAACCATGTGACCCTGAACTAAGTAGTCGTTGATATTCTTGGCATACTCAGTTTTGAATGCAGGATTTGAATCAAACTTTTTCTCCAATTGAAGAAATTGTTTCAATGCGTTGTCTCGTGATTTTCCCAATACAGCTTCTGGATGCAATGGTGTACGGAATGGGAATTTGATGACAAAGCGTCCTTCATTGTCACGTTGAATATTTTGACTGAAGAAGTCGATAACGTATTGCTCCTCTGAAGAAGTTGTTTTTTCTTCCGAAATTTCCTCAATTTCGAAAAACTGCTTCATTAACTCGTCAACTTGAAGTGTGTTGATGGACAAATTTGATAAAGGGCTGTTTTTATGGGCCTTTCCATACAATATCCAACCAAATTCGGTGGATTGCGCCGTTGGTGTGCCTTTTGGCCCCTTCTTGATTTCTGCTAACACTATTTCGGCATATACTTCAGCTCCCAAAATCATGTCGACAGGTCCGATTTGATTGAAGTTCGGATCAGCTAATTGTAGATCTTTGATGTGTGGCCAATTTGAATAGTGGATTTCTCTTGACGGTAAGCGATGAACGAGTGACTTCAAAATCAATGCATCTACTTCGATGGAATACGATGAATGACATGAATGGATTTCGAAGTTGACAAAGCCCTTGCTTTTAGACTGTGTGTTATCCAAATGGTCGATATTTATCGAACATTTTTGCTTTTTTAGTTTCAAAAGCTGTGAAGCTGACTCTGTGATAGCGCTTGCTTCCTCCCTGGTCGATCAAAGCTCTCATTGGTATTTTGGATCCATCGGCTGTTGATACCATCACAATAAGCGTGGCAAGAAGTGTGCAGAGATGACTGAAGCGCACCGAGTGACCGAGCAACGGCCGCACGGACACTGAGTTTGCGTGCTTAAAACATGCTCAGTGCGATATTGCGCTGCAGCACAAACAAACCCACTCCATGAAGAGAGTATAAGCGCACCAACGGAGTGCGCTACACCGCACTCGTACACAACGAAGAAACAATAGAGAGGATATACAAAGAAAGAAACACAAAGAAAAGAATAAGACAATACACACTCAACTCTTTATATGTGTGTATAAACCATAATAGGCAACAGAGTTAGAGTGCGCACACATTTCTTAACAACAAAGTCAGAGTGCGCACATAAACTCATAACGAAGTGAGTGTAAACGCACAGAGCAGAAAACGACTCTCAGTTGAGTTGCTGAATACGCTACTGAGCGTGCGCTTAGTCATCTCTGGAAGTGTGGAGCGAAATATCGGTGCGTCGATATTAACTTTGGAAGGAATTTCATCCGATTTGGTTTTCATCGAATCAGACTCATTCGATTTGGATGTGTGAAGAAGCGTATGATGTCTGGATCCACATTGAGCACAATTTCTCGCACTGCTACATTTGGATTTCATGTGAAATTTTGACAAGCAATTGAAACAAAGTTTGAATTTTTCCGCTGTAGAAATTCGTTTTTTTGTAGATAGCCCCAAGAATTTTGGACAAGAACGAATTGAATGCGGCTCCAGACAAATCACACATTTGAATTC